CTCTTACAATATTTAGGCAACATTTCAAACATTAAATAATTAAAATAAATATATGTAGAATTATAAAAAATATTAATCAAAATATTTATAATACAACAACAACAACAAAGCCTTAATCCCACTACGTGGGGTCGGCTACATGAATGCTTTTTCTCCATTGCGTCCTATTTAGTGTCATATTTTCATTTAGTTCTAGTAAATTAAGAGCATTTTTTATATAATAAGCCCAAGTCTTCCTAGATCTACCTCTGCCTTTCTTAACATAAGTCGAATCTAAAACATCTACTATCTTAATCGAATCATCAGATGGTCAACGTTTAATGTGACCAAACCATCTAAGACGAATTTCTCTAATTTTGTCTGTCACAGGAGCTACACCAACCCTATCACGGATATATTCATTTCGCATTTTGTCTTTAAATGTAAAGCCACTCATCCACCTAATCATTCTCATCTCGGCAACACTTAACTTGTTATTATGCTTCTCTTTTAAAGGCCAACATTCAACGCCATAGAGCATTGCATATCTCACCACCGTCTTATAAAATTTTCTTTCAACCTAAGCGGTACTTTTCTATCACACAAAAGGCCCGAAGCATTCCTCCACATTCCTCCACTTTCTTGAATTCTACCATTAACATCCTCATCTATATCACCATCGCTTTGAACAACAGACCCCGCTTTGAACAACAATCGCTTTGAACAACAGACCCAAGATATCTAAATCCTTTTAATAATTAATAATTTGATCACCCAAAGTCACACTTGTCACTAGAGCTACTACTACTAAAATTACATTTCATGTATTCAGTTTTAGCTCTACTTAAATGACGTTCTTTAGAATCCAATGTAAACATTCATAATTCAAGTTTTTCCTGGGCTTTTTCTCTCGTTTTATCCACGAGAAGGATATCATCAGCAAAAAGCACACACCAAGGTACATCCTCCTATAGATGTCCAGCAAGACCATCCAAAACTAAAGCAAAAAGATATGGTCTTAAAGTCGATCCCTGGTGTAATCCAACAGAAATAGGAAAATATTTGGTCAATCCTCCTTCAATTTGAACACAAGTAACAGCTCTAGTATACATATCTTTAATGACTTGAATATAAGTCATATCAACAAATTTCTTCTCAAGAATTTTCCAAAGGACATCTCTTGGAACCTTATCGTAAGCTTTTTCTAAATCAATAAAAATCAAATGTAGAT